GAGCCAAATAAATCTCTTTCCTTTACAAATTACCTAGCCTCAGGTATTCCCTTATAGCAACCCAGAACGGACTAACACAAGCTCCCTACCCTCCAGTCTGCCCTCCGTCCTCTGTGCAGGGCAGAGATGTTCAGAACCAGAGAGCATCCCCCGTGTAGCCCAGGGACCACGGCTTTCCAGGCCCAGCCTGATCCCTCTAATACTATAGCATCCCAGACTCCCTCCCTCTGCCTCTCTGGGACATGGCTTCTATCAGACTTCTTTCCACATCAGCCCTTAGAACTGCCTGTTTCTGGGAAAACTAAGAAACTAGGACAAATAAGACATCACATTTATACTGGTGGGACATTCACTTAACCAAATAAGGAGTCTCTATTCAATAGAATTTATGAAAAACTGTGATGTGGATCGATGCATACTGATATTAAATGCAAATCCAATTAATTAAAAAAGCAGGCTGAAAAATAGCCTGTAGAATATAAACTCATTTTGTAAAAGAAAATAAACATGCATATATAGGCATCACCTCCAAAATGTTAACTTATTTATCTCTGGGTGGTGGGAGTATGACTGACTTGTTTTGTATTATAATAAACAAATATTTCTAGGTCGATAAAAAATTACAAGAATAACTTAAAAAACAAACCAGGGCCAGACATGGTGGCTCACGCCTGTAATCTCAGCACTTTGGGAGGCCGTGGAGGGAGGGTCACTTGAGGTCAGGAGTTCGAGATTAGCCTGGCCAACATGGTGAAACCTGTCTCTACCAAAAATACAAAAATAGCCGGGTGTGGTGGCACATGCCTGTGACCTCAGCTCCTCAGGAGGCTGAGGCAGGAGAATCGCTTGAATCTGGGAGGCGGAGGTTGCAGTGAGCCAAGATCATGTCTCTGCACTCCAGCCTGGGTGACAGAGACTCCATCTCAAAACAGACAACAACAGAAAACAACAACAACAACAACAACAAAAACAGAAGTAGGCAAGATAGGAATGGATCTTCCTCACCACCTCTTTATTCATTTCAACCGAAACATTTCAGAAGCACCTACTCAATGCTGGGCCTGCCCACAGCTGAGCAGGGCATATGGTCCCTGCAATAACCTCTGTTGTTGGCTGGGGTGACCCAAGGAGACCCTTCAGGTAGGGGCTGAAGGCAGCAGGAGGTTCTTTTTGTTTGTTGTTTCTGTTTATTGAGGCAGGGTCTCAGTCCGTTGCCCACACCGGAGTGCAGTGGCACAATCACTGCTCACTGCAGCCTCCACCTCCCTGGGCTCAGGTGATCCTCTCCCCTCAGCCTCCTGAATAGCTAGGACCACAGCTGTGCACCACCACGCCCAGCGAATTTTTTGTATTTTTGTGTTTTTGTATTTTTTTTTTTGGTAGAGAGAGGATTTCACCACGTTGCCCAGCTGGTTTTGAACTCCTGGACTCAAGCGATTTGGGAGGCCTGGGACACGTAGGCCTCCCAAAGTACTGGGATTACAGGCGTGAACCACTGCCGGGCTGAGAAGGAGGTTCTTCCGCGGGAGAAGGCTACGCAGAGGGGAGGATCTCAGGCCTGAAGGGTCTAGAAGCCCACTGGAGGTCTTCCAGACACTTGGGGCATCTAGCTCCTGAAGAGTAGACACAGGAGCTGCTGCCCAAGAAGTAAGACAGAGAGAGGGGCAGAGGATGTGGGGTCCGCCCCTCTGCCCTCAGGGAGTTTCTTTGGAGAGAGAAGAGAGTGAGGCTGAGCTCAGAGGAAGTTCCTCCCACCACCCCCCGGAGCTCAGACTAGTCCAGTGGTGGCAGCTGCCCTGGCAGGAATCAAGCATCGACCCACAGTGGCCTCACATCTCTGAGGCCTTTGCAGGTAGAAGTCTCCTGCCATGATACCCCACCACAATGGAACCCGTCGTTGGGGACTGCCACAGTGTGTTCTCAGGGGCTGGGACACGGGCCAAATAACACAGCCACCAAGGCCATGGCCTGTGCTCTCTCTAAGCCGAGGGAAAAACACCCTCTGGGGCCCTGTGGTTCTATTTTTGTTTCTTTGTTTCATTTCCTCTGTTGTCCTCTTCTCCAGAGGCCAGCGCTGCAGCTGAGAGAATGGGTATCTCCTAGAGATTCCTGCCCCCCACGCACCAGCCCCACCACCAGAGGGCGCCCGAGCACAGAGACTCTGCAACCGGAGCGGGAGCCCTAAACCTGTCAGGGTGGGTAAGCCCTGGAGTAACCCTGGAGGGAGGGCCCTGGAGGGGGCCCCAGGGTGGGGACCTGCCCGGCTCAACCAAATATGGTTTGTTACCTTGGTGGCCATCTGCAGCCAGGTGGCCCTGCCACACTGCTAACCCAGAGGATTTAGGAGGTAGACAGGGATTTGGGAAGTGGCTGAAGAGCACTGGAAAGACAAACTCCTGCAGTGCAAGGAGTCCTGGACCGGGAGTCCGGAGGAATGGGGGCGCTCCTTTCCCTGTGACCCTAGGTTTGTTTTCTCATCTATAAACAAAGGCAGGGGCGGGGAGAAGGGAAAGACCCCATGGTACCCAGGTGCCCTTCAGGCTCTAACCAAAGACATGCCCCACCCTCCTGGAGGAACCCTGCGGGGCACAGAGGAGGGCTGGAGACATAGCGGCAGCGGTTTCCCCCGCAGCGCAGGAGCGCCTGGCACTGCGCTGAGTCAACTGCGGTCAGGGGGTCACCTGCCCGCGACAGCGAGCGCGCACCCACACTCTCGACCAACCCAGGCTGGCCCCCAGCCCACTCTCGGGTCCCAAAGCCCAAACATCTCACATTGCTGGCTCCGGCATCTCCCCACCCGCCGCCAGGAATGGACGCAGAGGGATATGCGTCTTCTGCGGCGGGTGCGGGGCGAGGACCCTGACCCCAGCTCGGGGAAGTCAACCGCGGGGAGGAGACAGCTCTCCATCCTCAGCTCCGCCTCCGCCCCGCCTGCGGCTTCACTCCAGCCCGGATGCCGGCGATGGGGAATAGACCAGGGAGGCAGGAGCGCTCTGGACCGGGGATGGATACACTTGGGGAGGCAGGCAACCGACCCGCGCACCAGTGGCGCAACCTCGTTCCGGTGACCGAAGCTTGTGGAGGTAGCTCCACTCCCGGCTCCCTGGTCCGGCATCCCCCTGCCACCTCCTCCCCCACCTCCCCAAGTCTTGGGAGCCTGGGCCCCGAAGGTTCAAAAAGTCAAGAGCCTGAAAAAAATGCACTGTGCAAATATATTGACTTTATTTGTCTCCTTTCAGGAGCCTCACAGACATATCCAGGTAAAAAGATCGTTAAATAAACGCCTTCAGTCATCTCAATGCAAAAATAAATATCAATCCTCCAGACGCAGCAGCAGCAGCAGCTGCGCTGCGCCCCAAGTCCCAACGGCCACGCCTAACAATTATAAAAGTGTTCAGCGAGAGTGTTGGCGTGAGTGTGAACGGGTGTGCGCTGGGGGTCACGGTGGAGCGGTGTGCAAAATCGGAGTTGCAAACCATCGGACAAGGGCATGGAGCGGCGACCCGGGCGGCCCTGGCGACTCGCGGCCAACTCAGCGCGGGCGCGCCTCCCCGCACACACTCACAGCAGAGTTCGCACTGGGAAGAGTTAAAAAATAAACATTTACAAGGACAAGGAAAGCGGTCCCGCTCCCGGCGTCCCCGGGCCAGGGCGAGCGCGGCGAGGGGCGCACCGATCCGTTCGCAGTGGGGCGGGAGCCCGAGCGCGCGAGGGGCGGCGGTCCCGGGTCCTTGCGGCTCCCCCGGGGGCAGGGCGCGGGCTCTCTCGGGGTTCGCACGTCGGTCCCCGCGCGGATCGCGGACGCGCGCGTTCCCCCCTCGGGCGGCGCCCCTCACAGGGCCGAGTCGGAGTCGCTGGAGTCCAGGCTGTTCCTCAGTTTGCAGCTGCTGAGCTGCTCCCGCTGCAGCGACAGGCTCTGCGTGCTGCGGCGCAGGCACTCCAGGCTCTGCAGGAACGACTTCTTGGCCTTCTCCTCCTCCATGGGGGACACCCCCTCCTCCTCCACCTCCTGGATCTCGTCGAAGGTCACCGGCTGCGTCTTGAAGCGAGACTGGCGCGGCCGCCGCAGCCGGCCCCGGCCCTTGGACAGCTTGGCGGGCCGCACGGGCTGCGGGAACTCGTCGGCCAGGCACACGAAGTGCGGCATCACCGCCTGGTAACTGGAGCAGATGCCCATCAGCTCGCCGGGCTTGGCGGCCATGGCGCCTCCGGCGTCTGCGGGGCCGGGCGGCGGGGCGCCGGGGTTCTCCGGAGGCGGCCGCTGCGCCGGGGCCCCCCGGGAGGCAGCAGCCGGGGGCTCGCCGGGCGGGGGATCCAAATCTGCTGCGGGGTGGCGGCGGCCCTCGCGGGCCCGGGCCGGCGCTCCTCGGGAGGGCGGGCGGGCGGACCCGTCGGGGGGCGCGGGGCTCGGGGGGCGCTGTTCCGCCGCGCTCCGAGGCGCTCGCCGCCGCTGCTGTAGCTGTCTGCCCCGCGGCGGCCGGGCTCCCGCTTATATAGCCCGCGGCTACCCACACGGCTGTGAGCTCGGATGACAGCGAATGCCATTTAAAGCGTGCGCGCCCCGCGCCCTTCCGCCTGACGTCGCCCCGCCACTCTCGGAAAGTAACTGCCCCTTCCCCGGCGCCGCCCGCCCCCAGCCAACCGGCTCCGGAAGGCAGGCCCAGCCCGCGGGGGTTCCGGGAGAAGCCGCAGCCCCAGAGCACGCGGCGGGCCCGAGCTGAGCCTGGGCAGGGACCCTCAATCGCCGAGACAGGGCGGGCGCTGTCCCTTCTGGGATCCCCAAGTCTGCACCAACTGGGTTGGCCGCGGGGGCGCAGGTCACCCTCCCCCGCCCCCTGATCCCAGATGCACACACTCGAGGCGCTGGTTATTCCGCCGCCGGTTCTGTGCGGGGCGCGAGGCAGCTCCCAGCTCTCTGCAGCCTGGCGAGCCTGAGCGCCCGGCTCCCCAGAGCTGAGCTCGGAGGTACGGGCGGGCTCCCCCTCTGGATCCTTGCCAGCCCCCTTCGCAGGCGCGCGCGCGCCCACACACACACACACACACACACACACACACACGAATGCAAACACACCTCCATTATTCCATTCCGGTTCTTCCCTTCCCTAGATGTCTTCCTTATGTTTGTCTCCTCACTCTCAAACCCAAAGTCCCTCGGGCACCCCGATTCATGCTCTGAAGAGTGACAACTGGATATGGCACTAACAACAACAACAACAACAATAATAGCCACCACCATCTGGAGAGCTTTACTCCAAGCCAACCATGCGCTCTGTTTTATATATATTCTCCTGTTTAATCTTCACAGCAGCAGCCCTATGAGGTAATTGGTATGCTCTCATTTTTACATATGGGAAAACACAGGCACAGAGGGGATAAGTAAATGGTCCACTAGTATCTGATGGAAACAGATGGGCTGGGCTCCAGAGTCCAAGCTCTGACAGTCCCCTGCTGAGGGTGAGTACCCTGAGCTCAATCTCACCAGTGCCCCCACGGTCTCTAAGAGCAGGTCCACAGGGCAGCCCCTGCCCTACGTCCTGGGACCCCCAAGAGGAAACTGTGAGCCTGGCCATGGCCACGTGGGCTTGAGATGCGGGGCACTGACAGGCACCCAGCAGGCCTCAAAGGGCCACCCGAAAAGGAGGGGGTCAGTGGGATTTGGCCTCTGTCTTTTCCGTACCCACTCAACAAAGATGTACTGAGAAGTTACTTTACTGCTCAGGAAAGGCAGGGAAGCGAACAAGAAAGGTACAGTCCCTGCCCTCATGCAAGTTACATTCTAGTGGGAGTGGGGTGTTGTGGGGAGAGACAGATGATACACACATGAACAAGAACATGTTTTGTGGTGAAATAAAGTAGGGCGATGAGCTAGGGATGCAGGTGGTGAGATGCTTAGAGCACCGGGCCAGGAAAGGCTGCTCAGAGCCGGATATTTAAGCTGCCACCCGAAGGGCAATAATAACATGCTAAGTGCTTAGTACGGCCATGCTTTGCTCACTTTTTATACATGAACGCAATGTGTTCACTATTTTATTTAATCCTCCCAACCACCCTGGGTAACAAATACCATACATTTCTTATTGCCATTTACAGGTAGAAAAATCAAGGCACAGAGAAGCTAAGAAAACTTGCCCCAAGGTCCCACAGCAGGAAGTAGCAAGAGCTGAGACTCAAACCCCAGCAGCGTGGCTCCTGAGCCCTCACTCTTACCCGCCACACTGCAGCGTCTGCCCTGCGACGGACAAAGATGGAACCAGCCATGTGAAAAGGTGGGAAGACAGTATCTGAGCAGAGGGAGTCTTAGTGCAAAGATGCTGAGGCAAGAATTCACTTGGTGTATTCGAGGAACAAACAGCAAGGAGGCTTGTTGGCTAAAGCAGAGTGAGAGAGGTGGATGGGAAGGGGGGACAGTCACTTGAGGCCTTAGTGGCAGGTTACAAAGATAGAATTTCGGCCGGGCGTGGTGGCTCTCGCCTGTAATCCTAGCACTTTGGGAGGCTGAGGCGGGCGGATCACGAGGTCAGGAGATCAAGACCATCCTGGCTAACACAGTGAAACCCCGTCTCTACTAAAAATTTAAAAAATAAATAAATAAATAGCTAGGCGTGGTGGCTGGTGCCTGTAATCTCTGCTACCCAGGCTGAAGCACGAGAATTGCTTGAACCTGGGAGGCAGAGATTGCAGTGAACCAAGATTTCGACACTGCCTTCCAGCCTGGGTGACAGAGTGAAACCCTGTCTCCAAAAATAAACAATGAAAAATAAGTTAACTTCTATGTATTTGCTTGAGCAAGTGTGTGATGGTGGTACCACTGATACACAGGTGAATGTGTTGGGGAAGAGAAGGGTTGGCGGGGGGCACTGAGGAATCTGCTGGCTGTTTATCAAAACCCACCATGCACCTGAATGATGCCTGAAATGCTCACATCAGAACTACATTACGTGAGAAAAAAAGCAATTTCTGTAACCTTAAAACCACTGTACTTTGTAGCTCCTTATAGAAATTTGCACCAGGAGTGGGAAAGTGCCACGTATAAAACCCCTCCAATATATGGCATTGGCTTAGCCAATAGGTGGTGAGCAAGATGGAAACAGATATTAGATGATGAGAAGCCAGTGAATCTTGTTATGCTAGGACAAAACATTTATTGCAAATGTCACCTGTGATCATGTGGAAGACAGCCTACATGCCTATTGAGCCTATAATTCTAGAAAAATGGTTGGAAAGAGCTGAAGCCATTTGCATGTGTTGGCTGCTTGATGCTGCTTTTAGCAAAATATTACAAGAAAGAGATTGGCCAGTTTGCAAGAAGAAATAGACAGAAATACAGAGAATTCAGAAAACTGGTGACCTTGGGGTTGAAAAAGCCAACTGGTTTTGTCCAAAGAGCAGTAAGTCAGACTATCATGGCTCAGAGCCTCTCTCAAAGCCTGTCTCTTAGACCAAACTTTAAACCAAATAAAGAAATCACCCCTGTGGCAAAGTATTATATTAAGGGTACTACCTTGTCATCTAAGTCTGTTCTTTAGGGTGTCCTTAGGATAACCTTCATTTTATTATTTATTTATTTGTTTATTTATTTATTTATTTATTTATTTATTTATTTTGAGATTTAGTCTTGCTCTGTTTTCCAGGCTGGAGTTCCAAGCTGGAGTGCAGTGGTGCAATCTCGGTTCACTGCAACCTCTGCCTCCCGGGTTCAAGCAATTCTTCCACCTCAACCTCCCAAGTAGCTGGGATTACAGGTGTACACCACCACGCCCAGCTAATTTTTATATTTTTGTAGAGATGGGATTTCACCCTGTTGGCCAGGCTGGTCTCAAACTCCTGGCCTCAAGTGATCCACCTGCCTCAGACTCCCAAAGTGCTGGGATTACAGGCATGAGACACTGTACCCAGCCACTTTCATTTTAAATGAATAGGAAAAAGAAGGGTATGGAAGGTAGACTTCATAACTCTGTCAAGAAAGGAGCTTTGGATGTGGTCACGGCTCAAGGAACTGACTAAAGATAAAGCCTACTTACTAAGTTTTTGAAGGAATTGTTATCACCAACAAAATTGCAAGGCTGGACTGCAAAGGCCCATGATTGCTCAAGCCTGAGTCAGCTAAGGAGGGTAGACTCTCAACACCCTGTCAGTGGTTGTGGAGAATGACAAGCAAGCAATGTTGAAGGGCAAAGTCAAGGTCAGAGAGACACAGAATAAGGGGTCACCCCCAGAGGACCTCCTCTGCTGCCAGGGCAGGCAAGTCCTTGCTGTTCTCGAGGACAGGCTGTGACAGAGACAGCTAGCCGCCCAGCTCTCCTTGCAGCTAGGAGGCCATGTGTCTAAACTCTCATCTGTGGAATGTGAGAAGTATGCTCAACTTCTGCCTCGCTCGATTAAGAAGAAATTCCTGCCCTAGACTTCTGTGTTTTTCCCCTCACACTGGCTGGAAGAGCAATAACCAGAGAGATTCTGGAACTGTCACGTTAAAGATAGCAGCACAGTCATTAGTGTGAGTCCCTAAATGACCACGTGGAGCTGAGCCATCCGCCAACCTGAAGCACTTCCCCTGTAACGATTACAGGAGTGAACAATCAATTGAATCTTTTTAAACTACTCTAACTTGGGGTCTCTATTATATGGACTTAGCATTGTTCTAAGAGACCCTTCGACATCCAGGTGGAGATGTCGAGCAGGCCACTGAAGCTAGGGGAGAGGTGAGGGGTGGAGGTGGCCGTTTTGGAGGGGGCTGGGTGGAGGCCCACATTCCAGAGCCTCCATGTCCAGGGCTGGGACAGTCCGGCACTGGAAAGAGGATGAAGTCAGCCAAGGACTCAGAGAAGCAGTGTTCAACAGAGTAGGAGGAAAACAGGAAGACATGTCAGAATCCAAGAGAAGGATGTTTCTAGGAGCAGGGAGACCGCTCAAAGGGAGTCTAGAGATGCGTGCTAGTCTGGCTTCCCCAGAACTTACTGTATGAGCTTGGACAAGCCACTTGACTGTCTGCCCTGCAGAGTTCTCAGCTCAGATGTTACTACTTCCTTGAAGAAGCCTTGCCTGGCCACCCTACTGAGGGCTGCCCCTCAGTCTCTCTGTCCCCCTTTCCTTCATGGCATGTTTGTCATTATCTAAAGAGTCTTCCTACTTGTCTGTTGACACTGTACTGTCCGCCTTCCCCACTAGGTGGTCAGTGTTGGCCACTGCCTTTCCAGCACCCAGCACAGAGCTGGCACGCAGAGGTCCTTGTGGCATGGACTGCTACCACGTGTTCCCTGCTCCAACGGTTCCCAACAGGCCAGCCAAGGTGCTACACTGTCTCCAACACACACAGCTCCTCTGAACCCCAAATTCTGAGGCCAGGGACTAGGGTACCCTAAGTCAACTTCCTCCACTCCCCTGGATGGGAGGTTCCCCATCCTGGCTCAGGGCAGTGAAAATAAGAAAAAGGGTGTGTGCTTCATAGCAGAGGTCCTAAATTAGCAATAAGCTCATCCCCTCCTGGGTCTTGGGCCCTGCTCACTGGGGGCCTCTTAGAAGAGGGCAGGAGGGGAGGGTGGGGAGATTGAACCTCCCATGGAGGACCGAGCTCCCATACTGCCTAGATCCCCGGGTCCTGCCACCCACCCTTCCCAGCCATGACTCCTCCACCTCAGGATGTCCCTAGGGCCAGGACCACCCCTCCCCGCCGTGGCCTTTTTATGCTTTCTCTGCCCTTCCCTGCCCAAGGAGCTAGCGAAAGGCCACCATCAGGTAAGGAGAACAGAGACCTAGATTCTAACCTAAACGCTGCCATGGACTCATTCATTCTGTGACCTTGGTGGCTCTTCCGAACCTGGAAAGCAGAAGCAATGCCCCTGGGTGCCAGCGTGTAGGAAAGCGCCTAGCACAGTACCCAGCATGTCGTAAGCATAAAATAAAAGTTCCTTTTGCTTTTATGATCTCATCCTAAAACCTACCCAGCCCCCAACTTGGTTGAGAAGATACCAGGGAAAGGTTCCAAGAAATTCCTGCTTCAGAGGGCATCTGGGGGTTTTGGTGGCTTATACCTTCCTGCCTGACTCACAATTTAAAAGAGGAAGCCAGCCCGAGCAATGCTGTGCTCTCATCATGTCTCCAAGGGTGGAGCTCCACACAGCAGCAGGGAACCGGGTTGGGGTGGTGTTACTGCTGATGCCCAAAGGTGGCCTCAGGGGCCTTGGCAGATATCAACACCTCTTTCAACATTTTTCCCTCCTCCAAAGGCCTGAGAGCCAAGATGCAAAGGGTGGGCAGGCCTGGGAGGATTAGGGGGTCCTGCTTCCTCTTGCCCTCTGGGCCTTCCTGGGACTTGCTGAGTTTGCAGGAGCTCAGAGCTGTGGGAGGGATCAGCGTGGGCTTTTCCAGGCTACATGGCCTCACCCAGCCACCCCGGGACAGGGGTCGGCCCTTAAAAGGGATGCAGGACAGTCCCTCTTCTCAGCAGGTGTGTAGCTCTGGGGCTACAGAGGAAGGACACAGAAATGTCATTTGTTGCTGGGCATGGTGGTGCATGTCTGTAGTCCCAGCTACTCAGGAGTCTGAGGCTAGAGGATCACTTGAGCCCGGGAGTTTCAGGCCAGCCTGAGCAACATAGTAACATAGTGAGACCACAGCTCTAAAAAAAATGAAAAATAAAAATAAAAGTCATCTGTTGAACACTCACTCTGTGTCTGGCCTTGTGCCAGCTTGCACATACCACCTCAATGAAGTCATCCTCACTGTGTCCTTCCAGAGGGACCCTAGCATCGCCCCATTTTACAGCTGAGGACTCAGGTGGCGGGGGGGGTGCTGACCAGGGTTACACTAAGTGCTGAGCACTGAAGCCAGCGTTCAAGGCCAGGCCTGCCTGACTCTGAAATTGGTGCTCACTGCTTGCGCCACCCCATCCTGCAGTCTCTCTGGTGCAATGAGAACAGCACTGGCCTGGAAGCCAGAAGTCTGGCTGCAGGTTGGTTGTTTGGGTCGATCTACACTTTGGGTGTGTTTGGCTCAGCCACCGCTTGTACGTGTGTGTGTGTGCACGCCCGTGTACACACTCTGTGGCCTTGAACCATTGTTTCCGATCTCTGAGCCACAGTTCCCCCATCTGGGAAGCAAGGAGGCCAGACTCTGATTCACTGGGGGTCCCTCTTGCTCTAACGTCCTAGAATCCTCTGGAGGATGAGGGCACCCATTCGCAGGAGTAGATGCCTCCCCTTCAGCCAGAGCAGCCTGCACTGAGGCTGCAGGAGAAGGCTGGCTTCCATGGAGGGGTGTCCTGGGGAAGCAGATGGGGTGGGGAGATGGAAGCAGAGAGGGGAGGGGCTTGTGCACCACCTCCCCCATCGTCCCTACCCACACTTTGGCTTTTGGGCAGAACTGGAATCTTAAAAAAAGCAACCACCAGTTCTTCAGCCATTAGCAGGGCTTTGTTTCCAAGGGAGCCTATGGTAACCTGGGCCTGAGTCACAGGGGAGCAGGGATGCAGTGTGTCCTGGGATGCACATCAAGGCTGGAAGAACCAGGCTGGGGCAGTTCTGTTCGCAGGTCCTCCTCTGCTTTTCCCTGGGGGGTGGGCAGGAAGGTCAGGCCCCTTCCCACGGCTGCTCTGTTGCCCTAGCTCAGACCCAGCGCCAGCTAGAAGCACTGGGCAACTGGCCACCCCCGCCTCACCCAAAACTCTCCCCAGAGTGGGTCTCAGAGTTCCAAGCACTGAATGAGGTGATGATTATTCCAGATGGTACTGTTTGGGTCGATCTACACTTTGGGTGTGTTTGGCCCAGCCACTGCTCGTACGTGTGTGTGTGCGTGTGTGTGTGTGGAATGCAAATGTCAATGTGGCATAAGGGGTGGGGACGGGATAGCAACACACACAATGTCTCTAGCAGGTGAGAGACTGAGTCTTTTCTGGGTGGTCCTGCCCCTGTGCCCAGCCCTCACCTCCCACTGGTGCCCACTCCACCCCCAGGGGGGCCTCCACACAAAGTCTGTGACTTCAGCATTTAACCAACTGCTTCAGCCTTACTCAGAATTAGCACTTCGTCTGGTACGATTGGGAGCATAAAAGTGTTTTGATAATTTTGCTGGAGGGTTGCCATGACAATCCCAGGCAAGCTCCAAGAAGGGGTGTAGAGAGAGGAGAGGGAGAGAGAGAGAGACAGGGAGGAAGAGAGTCCAAGACACACAGAGAGGGAAAGAGGGAGGGAGGGAGAGGGTCCAGGGAGACCCCCCGTGATAGCCCCCACATCGGTCCATCAGTTTCCAATGCCCTGCCCCGGTGGCCCCATTCATGCTGGAATGAGGTCACTGTGTAATCTGAGCCTCACTGTAACACTGCAATGGGATACCAGCTGCAGCAGCTGCCATGGCAGGGCTGGTCCCACCAGAGGAGGCACCCTGGCACCCCTGACTCCCAGGATGAGTCCCAGGGAACACTAGGCTGGAGTCAGGGGCTTGGAGATTCTTGGGGACTCTGAGGGAGTCAGAACCCAGGGAGACCTCCCAAGAATCAAGCTCAGCCTGTGGATCTGGGGTGCTGATGTGAGTAACGAGAGCTCACTTCCCTGCCAAGGGTCTGCTTTCCAGCACAGCTTCACCCACCCAGGGGCTGTGGCTCAGCCCCTCCCACATGCTTTCTTGCAGGCCTGAGTGTTCCTCTTCTGGGACCACCGGTCTGAGAATCTTTACACGGCTGAG